TTGTTTCCTAGTAAGTAATAATAAAAAATTTTAAAAAATCACATAGATCCTTAGATTTGCGACTACATCACAGTGATTATTATATTGCTTAAAGTGCACTTCTACAAACTCCTTGTTAAAAATGTGTAAATTCTTACAAGTATTTACTTAATATTAATTAAAATATATTAGATAACATTGACATGATTCTGTCTCAATAGCACATTAAATAGTTACTTGGAGGTTCAAGAATACCACTTTGAAAGAGAGGGTCTCATAGTTTTTCAACTATTTAATAGTTACATTTGACATCAGAAAAAATGAATATTCCTTCTTAGCAAAGAATAATTGCAATATTAGTAAGCACCTTTGAGAATTAGAATTGATGTTTACATTAAATTAAACTTTAAGTAGTTATTTTAATTATAACTAAAAAGTATATCAGTCATGGGTAAAATGTAAAATCCTATATTAACATATGTCCTTAAAGTATATAATTGCTTTCATTAAATTAATAAACATTTTGGGGTACCTACAATATGCCAGATACTAGATTAGTTATTTTAAAGGGTACTCCATTATACTAGAATTAAATACCCTAGACAAATATTGGTCTTTTTTAACAGAATGGAAAAAAAAAAACATAGTAATTTCCTAACTTCTCCAAATAGTGTAATTAAATTTAATAGCATAAACATTTGTACACAGAGTAAACACTTTAAAAGGCTAAGTGTTTATCCACTGCAATCATATATATTTGACTTTGAATAGTTTGTGATTTGGTCTCATTAGGCTGAAATAATATTGAAGATAGATTTATGGTTTAAGGAGTTTCAAATTTATTATACAGATATACACATATGTGAACTCCCAAGATATCATATTAGAATAAATCTGTAAATAGCTCTTTTGGGGCTTTTCTTCCCTACATAAAGCTTCAAATAAAAATTGAAGGGTAAAGTTGACAGAAATGTTTCTACATGTTTCATATTGAAGAATTTAAGTAAAAATCCTGAAGACCAATTTCTTGTTTGATATCAAGATGAAATACATCGGTAAATACCTTTGAAAGATTTGTTTCCTTGGGCTAGGAATGTAGCTCAGTGACAGAACTTGCCTAGCATGCGTGAGGCCCTGGGTTTATTCTTTGGCACCAATACAAACAAAAACAAGCTCCTCTTTTAGCTACTTTATTTGAATACTATCTATACATAAAATGAAGAGTAGAACTCAGAAATAAAAGGCCCCTTTACCTAATGGTATTTTAAAGAGGTAGACAAGGGCTCATGAGAATCTGAATCCAGCCCTGCTTATAGATCAGGCCTATGAGGACTAAGCAAGTTGTGTGACTGGTCCATTGCTATAGTTTACGGTGCTACCTATATTCATTATCGTATTCTTTAGTTTTTACTCCAAAATTGTCTGTATCACAAGACATAATCTCTCTTCTTAAGAAATATATGGTTGAGGGAAAAAATTAAATTTGAAGTTTTTCCATGTAACTGCCGCAATACCCTAATTTGTTGTGTCTTGGTAAACATCTTAAAATTCTGTTTAAATAATAGTTATGAAAATAAATTGCGCATGGAAATGGACTCAATCATGTTATAACTTGAATTCCTCTACAGTTATGCATAAAACAATTTAGTGAATTCGTAAAATCTTTTAAAAATACATCTCCATTACAAATTTTTTTTCATGTCTGCTTCTGACATGAAATTTTAGGCATCATTAAATTTCCTCTTTCCTTTGTTCTTGAAATCCAAAATTTTAAGGAATAGTTGGTGTGTGTAGAGATAAACTACTTCGAAGAAGTAATTTTTAGCTTATTTTGTGACTTGTTTCAATCCATTCTTGAAATTGACCACAGTTGCTCAGCAGTAAAAAAAAAAGACTTCAAACAATTAATTAGTACTTCTTCATGTATTGGATACAATTTTTAAAAATAAAATCACAATATTCTACTTATATATTATTTTTACAAAAATAATCTTTATAAGAACAGCACTGAGAGCACAATTTTACTGATTTATAAATAGGCATGCTTTCAAATTGTGCAATTATGTCATTATGATACTTTGTCAACTTTCAAAAAAGATTACTATGATATAAATTATATGTGAATCAGGAACATAGTGTCAGCTGTCAGCAAATACATTATAGAAATGTTTGTATTTTGAAATTTAATTGGATGAGATGCAGTATTGATTTCAAGCTAATAAAACAAATGTGATAAGTCTTATTTAAAATCCTTCCAACTAAATTCACAGAAGATTTTGTTTTTAGTTTTTTAGTTTTTTTTTTAATGTGGTATGGAATCTTTAAAGGTATTACCACAAACCAAGCAAATGACAAGAGTTGTCTTTACACTTGTTTATATGTTCTACTACTGGCTACTGGTTTTAAAGATCAGTTTTGTCTTTCTTAGCTCAAATTATTGTTAGCCAGAATATAACAGAGCCCAAAAGATTTAGGTAGTCACAAGTTTGTAATCTGGCCAATACAAACATTAGAAATACATTGATTCTATTAGTGTATATTAAACAAACTCAAACAAACATATTCAATAAATTTAAAATTTCATGATATCTCTTTTTTTAGCTTATTCTTTTGTGGATGAACTGCAATGTTTTCTTAATTTAAAGGCCTATTTTATACACTCATGCAAAATGTTTTGTAGAATGAAATTCTAGACATATAAGTAATGATTTAAAAGTGTAAGTGCAAGGAGAAAGCTCTTGAAATGTTTTAAAAACAAATTATATGACAAAAGTATTTCTTAAAACCTATTTAGCCTTAGGTGTATAGTTGTATTGCTCTCAATAACTAAATGTAATAGCTAAATGACAATTTTAAAAAGCTTCAAGCATTCTGATATTGTAAATATTATTTTTTCTTCTAACTGAAAAAAAAGTCAAAGGAAATTTATTTTCAAGCACTAAATCTCTAACATTGTAAGAATATCACTGTCATTTTTGTGATACAATGATAACTGCACCTGTATGGTATTGAGAAGATGGTGGGTAATTGTGATGGTGTTTCACTGCCATCTTTTCTAGGTCTTTAGTCCTTCTGTTCTACATAATACACAAAAATATTTTCTGATATCCTCATCATCTCCACCTTCATTACTATTTTTATACTAGGAAATTTACCACTACTAATGTGGAACATAAGAAAGAATGATAACAGGGTTCATGGAATTTTCCATCAATCAAATGCTATTTTATAATTTTTCTCCTTTGCCTAGACTTTCAATGGGAGCTCTTTTGGTTCTAGACTGTTACTGCTGGGACACCAAGAACCATATCATCCTAGCACTAGTGATGGCTTTAGCAAAAATAAATAAATAAATAAATAAATAAAATTAAATAAAATAAAAAATTCCTCACTCTAGATTATGATTATTTATTAAAAAGCATACTTGGTCAAAGTCATCAATCCAATATTTTTTATTCACACAGTAATTATGATGGGCCTGTATGAATCTTTAATCCTGAATACCACTATTCCTGTAATTTTATTCAAGTGAAATCATCAGTACTCGATTCATAAACACAAAGAATAAAGTAAGCAAATTCTTTGTTTAATGCAGTTTCCAGCAATCTCCTTACCCTTGCCATCTACTGAGATTAAGTTTCGTGCATCTATTAATGAATACTAGTAATGTATAAAATTGAGTGCTCATATACATTATATTAATAAATTTTGATGTAAAACCTAAAATCTTCCATCTGTAAGCCATAAGTTGTGCTCATAAAAGCTTGAGAATTTTAGCATGTTGATTTAAGTAAAACTAATGAACAAAAATAATTTTCAGTGGCTTTCTCTATTCCCCTCCACTATGCCATAATATTATTAAATGAATAGATAAAGATATACCCATATTCATTTTCAGATAGATGATGTTCTATTACCTTTTTAAGGCAAGACAGTTTTAGGAAAAGGATGCCTACTCTTCAAGTACATGGGCATTAATTGACATCAACTGAAAAACAATTATTACTACCAAATGTCACCTGGGTCTAATATGGAAACTCCAGACAAGCACTAGGCACTTCTGTCATCTTGGTTATGGGGTACAGATAGGGCAAAAGCAATAATTGGCTAGTGATGATGTAATTTAAAATCTTATTTTCTGTAGGGAAAAATGTATTATAACAAAAACAATTAACTACAGTAATTTCAATTTAATAAAGCACCCCCCACCACCTCATTTAAAAGACCTGGACTGGTGAAACACCCTGCCCACCCCCACCCCCAGACCCTAAATAGGAATGAGTTCAGTCAGACTGACACCTAATGGAAACTTTTATAACAAAATTATTATGTGAAGAATAGAAAGCAATAAATACTATACTATATTAAAAAATCAAAATACTTCGTTTACCATGAGTAGAGATACCCAGATTTCATTACTAGCATTTAAATTATTCCATTCTAAAACTTATTATTATTTACAAAGCAATTGAAATCATAAGCTTAAATGCCAGAGCCAAACAACTGAAAAAAAAATTGCTTATTTTTCAAAAGTTCGTCCTCATTCCCACAACAAACGGTGGACTAGTACAACTTCATTTTTCACAAATCCTAACGCAAGCCCTCATCTCTGTCCGCCTTTAAACCCTACACACATTATTTAGCCAACCAGGATGAGTCCAACTTTTCAGAGATCACCTTGGAACTAGATTATGCCACTTCTCTCTACTTTTCTAGTTTTCAGTGAAACAATGCCATCAGTAGACATATTGTATTTTGTTAAAAACTTAACAAAAACAACATTTAAAGGCCCATACCCACCAATCAGTGGATCTCTACATACAGAGGGTAATCATGAAACAATGAAGCAAAGAACAGAAGTTTCATATTTTCTTGCTAGTGATAGAATGCTGAGTGCAAAGATAGCAACTATGTATTCTTTCCTACTTCATCTCATTCTTAAAATGGACTAGCCTCTGGGAGCATCTGAAAAAGGGTTCCCATTCCTCCGCCCCCGCCCCCTCCCCCTCTCCCTCCCCCGCCCCAGACAATGTTGCCAATGCGCAAGAGTTGTGAGTGCAGATACCCCAAGAGTCACTGTGGGATCAGACGAGGCCAGGTAGGAACCAGGGTGAAGGAAGGGAGAAGAAGGGCGTGGAGTACCCTTCACTAGAAATCCTAACTACTGGAATAAAGGCGAGACACTGGAAGGCATGCATGCCAGGATGTCTACTTCCTCCAAAAGACCTCTCTGCCTCTCCAGGGTTCTTATTGCTCTTGTGGGCAAGAACTCAGTGGAAAAGATGCAAATCGTGCCTGGGAAAGGCACAACCTCCAGAGGGAGAAGGTGGCAAGGGCGCCTCTCAGTTTAGAGTGGGTCCAGGGGCTCCGCAAGGAAGAGCTTCGAATTTTGTCTTTATTTCTCCAGCATCTTCGTTCGACTTCTCAGGAACTGGGTCTTCGAAGTCCCATACACAACCAAAGAACATCACGGAGGGAGGAAACTTGTTCTTAGTATCTTGCCAGGCTTGGTGGAACCTTCTGGGCGCCTGATACATTTTTATACCCAGCATGTCTCCTCCCACCTTTGAAGTGTTACACCGGAGTGGCCCTGGCGCCTCGCAAAAGGGAAAGGCGAGTTGCAGAGCTATGTGGTCCTCCGCCAGCGAGAGCTGAGAGCTTGAGAGCCTCCGCCCGTGCCTTCCACTGTGGATCCTTTCCAGCTCCATCTTGGGCATCTCAAGTCCTGCCATGTCCGGATGTCCCCGGGAAGTGCCAGGGGATGCTGGAAGGAGTCGATGGGAGGTTGCTTGCTCTTCGCTAAGAGGGGACAAATCCGATTTGTTTTGTCGTCCATTAGTATTTGAAAAAAAAATAATAATAAAAACTGGAAGTAGAAGGAAGGAAACGCTTTCTCTTCCTCCCGTCCCCTCGTAGCAAACCCAAGAGGGAGATCGTGCCTTGGGTTTGTTGGTGTTTGAGACTCATCCTAAAGGCAGAGACAGGGAAGGCAGCGCTGAGGTGGTGTCCCAAAGATACCGGACGTTTGAACAGTCACTGCCTGCCCCAACCTCTTTCAGGAAGGTTCCAATTCCGTGCCACAGTGCAACCAATCCGGTTCCCATCCTGTTTCTCCACCTCTTCGCGGAGAATCCGAAAAGAAAACCTGGGTTTCTGGGAGACCCAACACACTTCCAATCTGAAAGTTCCGCGGGGACCCAGCCCCCAGTCCCCCGCCCCTCTCCAGCCTGGCCGCCACGTCTGGTTGCGGAGTGGCTTGGACGGCCGGGGGTGGGGCTCCGACACCGCCCCGGCCCGGGATTCGCGAAGTCACGAGCTTCGGCATGCACGCGGGGGCACCTTCGCCCACGGACACGCCCTTTCTGCGGAGGCAGCCCCCAGCGACCCTCTGCTGAGCTCCAGCTACTTGCTCCCGACGCTGCCAAACTGCTCAAGGCCTTTCAGTCATTCCCAACTTTAGAGAATCTCCCAGTCCGCGTCTCTACCCCCTGGCCGCATCCCACAAGAGAGGGGATGCTAGCCTGCGGGGGAAACGCCAAATCGCCCCACAGGCTCCGCTGCACGGACCACCTTCCTTTTTCGCCCCGCCCCTCCCCTCCGCCACGTCCCCCGCCCCCCTCCGCGCACCCATTTTACAGTCTGGGGCATCAGGGATACTGTGCGCAGTCTTTCTGACGGACCCAGAGCCAAAAACACACCCGAGAAAAGGAAAAGATTAAAAAAAAAAAAGTGCTACCTTGGCAACCACGAGCGTTTAGTGGCCAGCTGGTGGGCTGGGAGGGGCGGCCGCTGCCCGCCTGCCGCTGGTACTCTCCTCGACTACGCGTATTCTTAAGCAATAACAACGTAATCCGTATTATCCACCCAAGAATACCCGTCACCGAAGAGAGTCAGAGGACCAAGCTGCCGCTGCCGCTGCCGCTGCTGCCGCTGCTACTGCCGCTGCTGCCACCAGAACTCTTGCTGCTGAGCCCGCCCCTGGCTGGGGCTGGGCTGAGCTTGACCGGGACCATAAATCCATAACTCGATTTCCCTAAAGAAGAATCCAAAGCCGAGCTCGGCTGCTTCTTGTTCAAATCCAAATGGCTGCTCTATTTCCAATTCTGAAAGACAAATCACAAAACCAAGCACTTAACCCAGAAGAAGAGTGCTCTCTACCCAAGTAGGAGGGACAATGTGGCAAGGTTGTTTGGGCACAGGGTGGAAGTGATAGTAACCTTCAGTTTACCTGGTGATTTCCCAGTGTTTTCCTCTGTACTTGCTCTACTTCGTGCCCACTCTGGTCTCAGCCAGCCCACTCTAGGTGCTTTGATGGAGTGTCATGGCAGCGAGAGAAGCCTGTAAGAAACATGCACAGTTAAGCACACAAATATTACAAATGTATTTGCCTAGACGGCTTTAGGAAGAAGTGAGGCTCAAATAAAGATAGTGTCATGCATGGGTGAAATTTTCAGCAGTGTGTTTTGGAAGTGCATTTTCTCAAGCCCAAGATCACAGAATACAAACACTCATACAATTTACTACTTGAAATCAAATACTTATAGATCTACAAAAATAGGCATCTCTCCTTTGAAGGCCTTAGAGCTATATACAACATGATTTTTAGAGGAAAAATAAAGCTTCAAGGCACAAAATAATTAAACCCATTTTCCATAGTATCTGAACTCACTAAGTTGACAAGTTGGTAGAGTTTCTATCGTTTAGGCATCGTTTTGTACCAGCACAATGTTTAATTTCACAGCCCATCCTTGTAATATACAGTATAAATGCAATGCTGTGCAGCTGTTGTGAACACCTTTACAGAAAAACCTTTGAAGCTCTGTCTTCATAAAAAATAATTTTTAGAAGAAAGCCAATGAAACTTATTTGCAAAGTAACTAATTTTGGCATTCAGAGAGATAATCTCTGTGATTCTTTGATGATCAATATGGCTTTTACTTGAAAGCTTTGTCTTAAGACCCTGCAGTGGATATTCTGATAATAGGGGTTTATTGTTCACTAAGTAGAATGGACAAGTGCAACGTCACTACCCAAGACATGTTGTAGCACCATTAGAAAGTTCTCAATTTGCTTTCCTCTTTACTCTCAAATACATGGAAGTACATCCATGTGAGTGGAATAGGGAGGGAATATGGAAACATGGCAATAGACATTATGATTTCTCAAATTATGTAAGTGCAAATAGCTCTTCATCAAGAAGTAATTATATAACTGAATCTCTCCCACTACCACAACTCATCTCTAACTGACCTGGTTGTAATTCAAGGCACTTAGGTTGTATTTGCTCTTATCATTTTTAAAAATATAACACTTCTCCAGGCACACCAACTCATCATTTTCCTGACATGTTACTTACAAATAGAAAATCAACATGAATTCTAGGTTTTATGAGCGGATGTTTAGTATATAATGTCTGATGCTTAAAATAACTCAAAGAAAAAATAGCATTGATCAATTACTAGCCTATTTTATGTTATTTTTCAGATAACTCTTAAGTACACCATTTACAACAAGACTGATGCCAATTAAATAAATTAATAAGCCACTATTTTCTGCCATTACCTAACATAGGTACAGAGTGGAGCTTTTCTTTAATGCTACAAAAAAAAAAAAAAATCCAGAAAGCTGACAGGTTCTCTTCAGCTTGAACTCCTAGAAACAAAAGCCCTTAGGGAAAGTAATGCAATAGTCTATGAGCAAAGTGTACATTTGCTTCTGAACTCTTCCATTTAAATCTCAACTACCATTAAAAGGAAAACAAGACACATTATAAAGATAGGATTTGATTTACTAAATGGAATGTTTTTAATTCAAAAAATGGTTAAAGCATGCACACACACACACACACACACACACACACACACACACCCCACACAGAAACACACAGTGCATCAGAATTACAGCACAAATACCCACACAGCTTTTCACCTTTTCAGTGCTTCCTAAGTAGTCTGCTTTAGTTTAGCTTCTTCACAATTAAAATAAATCAATCTCTCTCTCTCTCTCTCTCTCTCTCTCTCTCTCACACACACACACACACACACACACACACACTTACGCACTTTGACCCACGGACTCACACGTTTTTAAAAAACTAGAACAACGCAGTTGATAGGCTTTTTTCCTACCCAAGTAGCAGTGCCAGCTTTTTCCCTACCTACCCAAATGTTCCACCAGCTTCAGCACCTGGACGAGTGGACAGCTCAGCCCGGGCTGACTGCCGGCAGCACTTGCAGCAGAACTGACGCTCTGAGCTCTAACCAAAGTGCTCTCGTGCTTCGGCGGGGCAGCCTGACTTACGAGAACACCATTTCCTATGAGACCACTGCCGCTGGGTGCATATTCAATTCAAACCTCCTTAAGCTGTCGGATTTCCCCCACCCATCTACCCTCCCCCCTTCTCCACCCTCCACACAAAAACAGAAAAGGGAAAAAGCCCAATACTATCAAGGCGTTTGTTGATCAACTTACACTTTGCTTTTGAATATTTAGATACTGCTAGCGGAGCAATATCAGCGGAGGCTTAGGTCCGCATTAAGTACCTTTGTTCATCGACTCCTGCAAGCCATGTTTATTAGAATCTACATTTCTCTCGCGCCCCAATAAGTAGAAGTGTGTTTGGCTGCCAGGGGGGTTTTCAGCACCTTTCGATCGCTCAAGGCCACCGCGACTGACTGCTGGTCCCCACTACTTTCCCACCCTATCCCCCCACACTCCAACACCCATCCCAGTTAAAGGCTTGGTAATTAGAAACCAAATATACATAAAGAAACGCGACAAAGCAATCGGTTTGAGGAAATAAGCCAATTAAGCTAAAGCAGAAATATCTCTCCCTCCCTCCCTGTCTCCTCTCTCTCCCTCTCTCCCTCTCTCTCTCTCTCTCTCTCTCGCCTCCTTGGCTCCCTCCCTCTTTCCCTCTCTCCTTCCCTCTCAAGTAGAAAGGGGGGAAACACCAAGGAGAGGGAAAAAAAAAATCGGGAGGAGGGTGGTAGTTGACTCTTACAATCAATGGAAAAACACTATACACATCTTTACTGAATAATACTCTCGTTCTCAGACAAAAAGAAACACATTTATCGATGTAAACATAGTCTCCCTCTCCCACACATCCTACATCCTTTACGTTTGCTGAGATTTGTCTTGCGGTATAGCAAAGTAACTGTCCACAAATCCATCTCGATTGAAGTGCTTACCCTCTAAATCCAGGTTTCAAGCGGAACTCCAACTGTGTGTAGAAGCCAGGGAGTCATCTGATGTGCGGTGAGGTAGGCTTTGGGCAGCGGGAGCTGCTTCCCTCCGAGTGCCGGGTTACAGTGTTAACAAGCCCTGGGAAGGGACCTTGGCGCCTCGCGCTGGCTGTGCCCCAGTGCCTTCGCGTGGTGGCGGCTTGCTCACGCTTCCGAGGAGTCCCAGGCGATAGCCTTCAGCTGATGCGAGCTTCCAGAAAGGAGTGGAGAAGGGGGAAAAATCATCTAATGCAATCAAATCGATCTGATCTACACCATCTGTCGCCTGCCACTATACACAAACGTTAAAATAGGAAAACGGAAAACACTGACAGCCCGAGAGGGTTGGTCTGCAAAGAGTTCATTTTTAGCAGAGCATAACTGGGTATGGTCGGCATACAGTTACAAAAGCTGCTGTTAACCCTCCAGTAGTGGATCCCAAACATGCTAATGGTGGATTAATTGAGGAAGATCTGACGTGCGAGCTTCATAGTCTCTTATTCATGACTTCCCAATGGGAAAGGACCAATGCCTTGTGGGACTATGGTAACATACAGTCAAAAAGCTGCTAAGAAAATGGCTGTGTGTTCACAGCACCTCTCTCTGATAACAAACATATGTCGACTAAAACGATTTAGTAGAATGGGAGGGGGGGTGTTGGAGAATAAAATTTTCTTTCCTAGTGTAAGCAACCCCCATATTCTTTCCTTAAAGAAAGCTAAAATAGATACCATATCTTTACCATGGTGGGGGGAAAGGATGTTTAAAAAAGGGTTTTTATCAAGATCAAACTCTGCCATATAAAAGAAATGGAACACTCCTGTGCAGCAATTCTTTTATAAAAAAAAATCTATTATCATTTTTTTCCTTACTGTGATCAAAGTAGATCCATAGCATGTGCTGTATATAGAAACTCAGCCCAGTTAATCCCACTAGGATTGACTCATGGTTGTTTAATGCCAGGTATCCTTTTGACTTCTTGAAATCAGGATGCCTTTTGGGCAAGTCATTTTGTATCATTTAAAACTGACATAATGAACCATTAAATGTGATTGCAGTTTGGAGATGAGGAGAGGATTTTTTTTTTTTTTTAAATTTTACAATTACTCCCTCCATCCAAAACCTCTTTGGTCTCTTTCCAGTTTTTCCTGATCAGTTGGTGGGGAAGATACAGAAATGGGGAAGGGAGTGGAGATCCCCAGGGGGAGGGAGAGAGAGGGTAGATTATCAATAACCAATAAATTCTATTCTATCTGTAATAAAAATAAGAATAAAAGAGAGATCACTTTATTATTAGTTCATCATGATATTTAAATATAGACCAGTTTTCAAAATTGATGTTTTATATATGAAAGAAAACATATTGCAAACAGTAGGGTGACTGTCCCCCCCATCAATTTGCAATTATAAGATTTTTAAACGAGGAATATGGAGTTTATCATCTAGACATGTGACATTCTTTTATTATCCCTTCTAAATATTCCACATTTATTTTCGTTTTGTCATCCACGTGAACACTCAAAACTTTGATTCCGCTGCCTTTTAAAAATAGAACATACATTTCATAAATTCTGTAGTAAACAATTAGTGTTTAGGATAATTCTTGAGATAACTGAATGTGTCTCCTGAAACTTTGATAATCTCTTTAAGAAAAAAAAAAACCCTAGCAGTTATGAATTAGATTAGTCTAAAAATATAGCTTGAAGACAAATCAAACAATTTACCTGATCTTTTGTTTCAATATACATTAATTAAGCACTCTTTCCAACCTACACAACATTCCAGGGTCATAGTCTGAAATCCAAGTCTAATGTAATAGCTCAGCAATCTTTGTTGTCATTCGTGTCAAGCTATTGCCCCCTGCAGGTTAGGCTGAAAGTGCAGGCAGAATTTAGCCAAGCACTCAGGAAATTTATGGTAGTGATGTTATTTAGTCTATTCCAACATTTAAATAGAGTCAATTTTTAAACTTTGTTTTCATGCATTAAGCTTTTTTCATTATAAGTATATAAAATTTTGGGGGAAAATGAACATGAAAGAAAATCTGATTATTTTATCTTGAGAATTTAGGTGGATTGAGCAGACCATGCACTTTGTTGTGATCCACAAAACACCTTGATGCACTTACTGTAATTTTCTCTATCTTCCCTCACTCTTTTTCCACAAGAACCAGAAGAATTCAAAAACAAGTGTGACAGAAGTGAAATTATGATTTCCCAATGATAAAGAGGTAGTCCTGGGCAATTTACTACTTGATGTCAATGTGCTCTTGGTAGACTCAATAAAGTGCATTCAAATCAAACTCTTTCATGTTCTTCCCACTGCTGACATGATGGGGGACAATTACAGTGTTTTTTTTTTTTCTTGATTACGAAATGAAACATTATTTCATGCTTCTGCTATATAACAATCCTTAGCCACAATCAACTTTTCCAAATAAAGCACCTTGCCCAGATGAAATAAACTTATAATTGGCAGAATAGAAATTAAATCGCATCAACTTTTCCATATTATTAGAAAGAGGAGCATATTTATGAGAATGATTTCAGAAGGTTTAAGGAAAAAATCTTTCATATTTGGAAGTCAAAGATGTGGTTATTCACATTGCATTGTAAAGAATCCAGCAATGAAACTCCCTGTTATTTACACACATATCACATTGAAAAACTGAATATTGTATACAAAATTTGTATATCCTAATGTCAAATTAACAATTAATAAGAATTTTGTCTAGTCTATTTAAATACATTATTTCAACAATGTGTAGAAATAGCTAGAAAAACAAACTGCATTTTGCCATCTTAAAGCTATTCTGAAATGCTCATAAAAGATTTAAACCAAAGTTAGTGGTAAGACTTAGGGCTTTCTTGAATGATGTTTTATCCTAACCACTGATGCTTTTCCAGATCCTCCAGAATGGAGATATGGGGATAACTGTGTCATAATTTTAGTAAAGCTAAAAACAAAACCACCATCAACAAACAACCCCTGAACACTTATTTCTATTTCATTACATTTTAGAGTGTTTTATTGCATTTTCAAGAAAACACTATCTATACATTGAGATCTATACATTTACCTCTACAATTAATTAACATTACTCCTCCAAGCAAAGAGGACCTGTGGATTAGGCTATTGGACTACTAAATGCACAAACATGTTGTAGCCAGAATAGCAACTGGTTGCCTGCAGCTGACATTTCTAGTTGTCATTGAGTGAATATTTTTAAAGAAAAATTTCATCTCTCCTTCAAAATCATATATCACATATATGATATGATTATACATGATTGTACATACAGAATCACATTGCTATTGAGCTTGAAATTTCATTTGTCTTGATTCAAATGTCTGTCAAATACCTATCAATATAGTTGTTTTAAATTAGAATCCAAAAGAGAGAGAGGGGTGTGTGTGGGGGTGGGTGAGTGGGGGCAGTGTTTCAATTTACCTTTGAGTATGAATCAAAGGAAACATTGTTTTTATTTGTTTGTTTGTTTATTTATTCATTTTTATGTGGTGCTGAGGGTCCAACCCAGTGCCTCACATGTGTGAGGCAAGCACTCTGCCAGAAACATTGTTTTTAAAGTTCTCCTCCTACTGGGCATAGCAGGATGCCAGCAAGTGCCCTAAAAGACATAATCCTTCTCTTAGATCACCACTCTGCTTCTAAAAGATCAGAAAAAAAATCCTAGAAACCTTGTAGTTGTGTTATATCCGGAATTTTGGATTATTAGGCATTCCTAAGAAGTCAAAGACCATCCAATCCTATTCATATGCTTCCTGTGACTCAACCCAGTTTCCACAGTGGTGTGTGTGTGTGTGTGTGTGTGTGTGTGTGTGTGAGAGAGAGAGAGAGAGAGAGAGAGAGAGAGAGAGAGAGAGAGAGATACCATCCCCCCGGTGCTTAAGTTTCCAGAGGTTTTCAAATGGAAATAGAGTGGGCGTGGTGGTGGTGCAGAAGTGAGGTGTTGTGGGTGTGGGGGGATTTGGGAGAGGGCATCCAGGTCAGAAACTTTACACAAATTCCAAGCTATCACTACCATTGCAGATCAAAAAACTTAGGTGTGAGAGACCCTCTTAGATACATTGCCTTCTTGATCGAGGTTAGCTAACGACAGGTCCCAGTTCTGGGGCAGTTTTGAGAGGGTCTTAAGACTGCTAGAGGCCAGATCTCCTAGTTTGGCCTGGGGGCTAAACCAGGCTCGACTCCCGCAGCTCTGAAGCCCGGAAGCAAGGCAAAGACTGTTTTAATCTTATCTACTCTTTAAGTTTCAGCAGCCACAGCCCATCAACGCTGGCTCGGACCCGTGCCTCCTCCAGGACAGTTAAGGGAGCGAAAATTCAACCTTCACCCTGAATCTCAGATCAAGGAGAGGAAGCAAAAGGGGGTTCGGTTGCTTCTTCTGGCCCAATGGGCCTGCGCTTTGCAGACCCCCAAAAGTGCGAGGCGTAGTCTGCACCCAGGCGATAGCAGGGCTCCGGGAGTGGAGGCTTTCCGCGCACTCCCGGGCCCGCGCTCCCTTTCTGGTCCTCCAAGGTCAGGGCCAGCGACCTCCGCCGGCCTCTCCACGCCCTCAAAGGGAATGCTGCGGGCCCTGGCCCAACGTAACCTGGCCAGGAAAGAAGACGGCGCTACTGGATTCGGGAGAGGGGGCGAGGCGAAGGTCCGACCCTGTTCTGGAAAACGCCAGCTCCTCCTGGATTCGCCAAAGTCTAAAGAAGCCCAGGGAAAGCTCTGCGGGTTTTCGGGGGGAACTCCACTGTGGGACTTGTCCCGTAGATCTTTCTCAGTCCTTGGCCTTCCTCCCGCGGTCCTCCCCTCCCCAGTTCCCCCGCCCCGCCCAAGTCCCGGGCCGCTGGGGCTGAGCCCACCGAGCCTGGAGAAGAGCGAAGGAGCCCCCTGCCGGCCAGAGGCGGCCGGCGCGGCCACCCGCTCTCGCTTCCCTCCGCCCAGCCCGCGCGGCCCCGCCCGGACCCTGCTCGACCCTCCAGGGTCCCCAGGACTGGGGACTTGTTAAAAGAAACAGAAAACAAAACAAAACAAACAAAGCGCCAAAATCCACTCTCACCTCGTTCACTGCTCAAAGGTAAGTGTGAGTTCAGCCTCTCCCACGCTTCTGCCTGACCCTCCTCCAGTCCTCTCTTTAAGGTGTGGGGGAGTCAAGGGTTCCCCACAAAAGAAATCAGGCCTGTTTTTGAAAACACGTTTTACAAGCATCGAGATCGCACAACAAAACACAACACAACACATACACACATACACCCCCACCCACCCACCACCACCACTACCACCACCACTACCACCATTCAACCAAAGCCACATTTAACAGTTGGGAACACGGCTACTAATGTGCATGTTTGTGGAAGCATTTCATTAACTGTTGGGGAAAATGTTTACTGATCTTTCAGGTTGTGGGCAAGGACTGTAATCATTCTGCAAAGTGGGGAGGGAAGCCAAGAGGAAGAATGATTCTCCTTAACTTTCCCTTTCCTTCCTGTGCGTGAGACCTACTTTTAAGTCTTGGCCTGGGTGGAAAAGTTCAGCCTCATAACTGAGGAGATTCATCCATTTCTGAGAGGTTTCTTGTGTTCCCTGCTACCCCTATTCCTCCGCCTGCCTCCTCACTAAGGAACTGGGGAAAAGATTGTTTTGTTTATAGAGGTAATTCAAGACTTAGTTTGGTATGGCGTTTTAAAATCAGTTTAGCCTTGAAATGGGCTGTACTCATCCAGTGGCAGGTTTTCCTGTTTTTAGGAAAAGGTGGTTAGAAATCACAATTTTTTTTTCCTATGCAGGCAACCTTGAGTTAGATGTGGACACAGTATCTTCCTAGTGTGACATTCACAAAAGCCCACTGCTTCAAATGTTTACTGTCTTCAAATGTTTACTCCCCTTACCCTCCCCACACCCCATAAATTTAGGCAAACAATAAGCATAGAAAGGTTCACTGAGGGACTGGGTCTTTTCTATTTTCTCCAGATATTTTTAGGGAAAAGAAACTATAGGATTTTGATTGTCTTTAAAATTAGTTTATAGCAGGCAAGATCTAGGAGACTCTTTTAGAATGGCATGCTTCTTCTTGTTGATATTTTCAGGTGGATGCCAGGGTCTTTGACTTGCTAATAAGGAAGCAAATGAGGCTGATGCAAGGCGGGGTCTGATCTCTCTTACATTCAACCATCAGTCCAGGAGATCTGAACAGCTCATGGAGTGCTGCAGCTCCATAAGAGGATAAAACAACAATTATTAGAATAAAAACTAACACCACATTGAGTGCTTACTCATTGCTATGCTGTATTCTTTGCTTTCATTAGCCCATTTAATTCCCACCACAGTCCCATGGATTAGACCCTGTTATTGTTTCCCATTTTACAGAGAAGGAAAGTAATACCTAGAAAGGTTGACTTACTCGATGACAGTTATAATATTTGTTAAACAGAAGAGCAAGGATCTGAAATCAGGCATAGAAGAAATATCTTGAGAAATTGGGTTTGTTATATTGAATTCAGATTGGTAATAAATTAAACTAATACTTTAGCTCTGAGTCTTGGTCTTTCATAGAAAAAAAGAAAAGATAATTTTTTTTTCTAGAAAGAAAACATAATAAAAAGGAAATATTTTCTTCTTAAGATAGTATAAATTCTCTATCACCATTTCACAGATGAGAAAACTAAGAGAATAAATCAATTTAGCTACCATAATAAAGTGCATAGTCAGACCTTAAAAGTCAGATTTTCTGATTTCAGCTTCTGTATCCATTCCACTTAACCACACTGCAGAAACATAGATTCTTGGTTTTTCTTAAAATGCCAAACAGTGGATCACGAACAGCTCGGAGCCTGTATTTCTCAGTGAGTAAGCTTTCTTTCACCTTAATTGTGAATACGTTCTTACACTGAAAGGATGCAAATGTAGAAATAGTGCTATTCTCGGTTGGTGAGTTAAATGACATAAAATGGCAAAAGACTAAAATAACTACATTGGCTTTGCTCAAAAAGCGGTTAAAGCAGTTACAAAGATATCTGGAAGTCCTGTTTCAGTACAATTTAAGTCTCCTCTACCTGCCAAGACCCTTCCTAGACTATTCCAAGAATGTTATTCCACACTTAATTTCACAAAGTAGTTTAATACTATAAGGTTTTTGTACTTTTAATATCCATTCAGTATTGCTTTGTTTTTAGCTATAGATGATATGGTAAAAAGTTCAAATAAACCTTTGAAGTGACTACTTTAATAGCAAATAATATATACAATATTAATTGTTCAATGAATTTCAACTAGCATCCACCTTTTAATGTATGCTTCTGATGTGCTGAAGTATGTTATGAAATCTGATTTGCCAGATATCCAGTTAGTTCAAGTCCAGAAAGTGCTTCATAAAATGGCTTCAAGATTCCTCCATTCAAAGTATCAGAAACAAAACAAAACAAAAACAAAACAAAACGGATGAACTAGCTTAAGTCACTGACTGGACTGTATTCTATGTCTCAGCTTTGTCAGTTATTTATGTGCAAACTATTTAGCTACATGGCCTCCTGTCATGTTGGGGATCTGTGATTTTTCCAATGCTTTAATTTAGTTAAATGTGATTATTAGTGTCAAGTTGGGAATTTCTTCTCTCCCACCTCTCATTAAAACGTTTAGTATCAATATCATTTTGGAACTCTTAGGTTATATAATGAAGCCTGCTTGTCTGTGTGAATTTGTACCATAAACATGTTCACTGATGTTTAGAACTTATCTAGTGTAATCCTTTTTATTTTACTGATGAGTAAATTGATGTCCTGAGAGGTAATACAGAATGCTCAAGGTTATCCACCTAGTTATGAGGTCAAGAGAACTGGAACCCAGATTTTCTGTATTCACATTCTAAGGTCAGTGAACTCCCACAGCTGCAGGTCCCTTCTTATTTGATTGTCAGGGATTCAGTCCCTCATTCAAAAACTATTATTGCCATGTACTTGGCAACAGAGGGAAAAGTATAAGAACCCCGAAAACAGCCTTCATTTGTTCAAACCTACATTCCCGTTGTGGACCAGGATAAAATCAAATGCCAGGGTTAACAATGGCTATAAAAAAACATTTTTATAAAGACATTTTCTTTAATAAACTCTAATGTGTTATAGTATGCAAGGCAGCCATGCATACAAATGTGCATTTTCTGTTAAAGAAATTTGGGGGAGCCTTGGTGCCAAACAATGAACCACGGAGTGGAAATTAGTAAATGGACATAGCAAACCTTAACCAAATAGACAGAACTGTCGAGAGGATCCATTCATGGATCCAGAATGACTCTTTCCCAGAGTCTTTCTGTGGACTGAGAATTAAATGCCGGTGAGAAAACAGACTTATGCAGGAGCTGGAAAAATGAAATAATAACGAGATCAAAGAGGAAATTATTCAACAAGATGATTTTTTAAATAACACATTTGAAATGAATATAAATAAGATTATCCTAGCAGGTGAACCAAAGGGCCAAGAGAGCAGGAGCCTGAGTTTATGGGCAGAAGCTTCAGGCTCTGTTGTCACTGCCTTTTGTGAGTAACCAGCTTTCCCCCTGGGAGCACAATACATGGTGTTATTCTTGCCCATCAGTAACTGGAAAGGGATGGTGTAGGAAGTTTAATCCTGTAAAATCCTGGGTTTCATTATTGTTAGAGTCATCAAAAACAATAGTTTCCAGAAATGTAACTGGTCATCACAGACAGAACATACAATCTTGGAATCATGTAATAGGCAGAACTGGTTGAAATGAACTGTTGAACGACTGCCCCATTACGGGGCCACCATACCCACTTCAGGTACTGTGAACTATTGAGGAACTCTAGCAGAATTTCTCTGCCATGTTGTTTGGATGTCCTGTGGTGGTGTCAACCAAGGAAATGATTAGGTTGGGCCCTCCATAGCAGCTCATCTTATTTCCTGCCTCCAAGCATAGCGAAAGCCAAACTACAACTACACTAAGTGTTGAATCGCAGAAAAACTGGTTGAGTTGTTTTCTTTACTGCCTGTATTATTGAGATTAGAAGTTATAAGTAAAGAAATTTGAGTCTACTTCCACTTATTCTGCCCTTAGGCCAGCTGAAGAAGCATGTTCCCCCTTCATGATCACTGCAAAAAAGTAGTAAATCTTCAATAAAGGAAAACATGAGATCTGAGATCTTTTTGATCTGCCTCGAGACTGGAGTGAGCTTATGGAACAGTTATGTTGGAGCTCCCAAGTGATATGACTGAGGTTATCTTTCTGGAGGGGTGAAAAGGTCTTTTTGATCCACATTGCTTTTGGAATAACCTTCTTTAGAAAGACAGACAAACAGACAGGGAAAAAATATCTCATGTGAAATGGGGACTGAGTTACAAGAAAAGCTTTTCATCTTCAGATTTATTTGCTCTGCGCTAGGTATATAATAATATAGTTTTTGTGTCTTTAAATACATACTTAGCTAGGCATTAAGCTCTAGGAATAATCTGTTTATAGAAAATAAAGCCATTTCTATTTGAAAACAAATGGAAAAAATAATTATTTCTCCCCAAATGTGTACCCTTTTAATTGATCAAATGCATCCAAGAAATTCTGCCGGCAATTTGAACACTCTGTAGGTGTTGTTGCTGCTCTAAATTTGTCTGCAAGAGGAATTGTAAATGGTATTTACCTTTTAATTAAACAAAGCATCTTGCAAATTAAACACATGTTCTTGCACATCAAAATTTAGTTAACATCCTTTTCATTGTTCATCCTGCTGACACTCTGACAGCATCATGAGTCCACATACAATATAGAATCCTGCTGCTCCCCCCCTCCCCTGCACTTTGCATTCCTCAGAGTAGATGATATCACATGCTACAGTACACTCTGTAACTGACTTCTAATAACTGAGCAGCTTTTCTCATTTAATATACTTAATATTGTGCAAAGTATGGGACTGCATTGGTGTGTCCAGAACCTGGAAAGCTTTGGACACTGATCTGACATATGTCTTATAATCTTACACTGGAAATTTGACAGTGAATGACAGAACACCTTAGAGGAATATAAGAAGCTGATAAAGGCAGAAGCACTGCACATGAATGCAGAGTCTGGTTTCT